TTCCATAGTCGATCCTAGCATTCTTGTACGTCTTCTTTTGCCAAGGAGCTGCTCATTTTTATGGCCTGACATGTTTTGTTGTTCTTGTTGCCACTGGCAGCCGCATTCCTCACCCCTTTAGCCATTTTTCTCTTCGGTTACCTACACAACGCCATGTGTCTTCGCCTTCCCCCTTCCTAACTCTACATCCGCTCTGGTTCTTTTATTATTTTTTGTACATTTTCAACTGTAATCACATCATTTTACATCATATTTCATACTTCATCTTGTTTCGGGGGAATGCAAAAGAAAAGTGAGATGAAAGGGGAGGAAGGACCCGTCAGCTGCTGCCCTTTCTTCTTGGCCCTGTATTCCCGTGTCCCTGTATTCCTGTGGCATTTTTCTAACTGGCTTTTGGAGGAGTAGGTGGATGTGCAGGACCCACATCCCCACATCCGCAGCTGAGGTTGGACGTAATCACAAATACTTGTTCGGGGCGCGCAGGAAATTACTTTAATCAGCGGCCCAAAGAAGCACAACGTGGCATTAGGGTTACGAGGAAACGCCAAAAGACACCCAGTATGACATCATCTTAGAGCTGAGATATTTTTTAATATTATTAGAATACAGCTAATTCCTATAACTTTGAATTTCCGCAACCGTTTAAAGATTCTCATTCAGCAGAGCAATGAATCAATGTAAATAACCCATCGGAAATCCTTCGACAAATTAAATTAAATACTAAAATTGGGAAGGCTATGAAAAGTCATAAAACCAATCAGAGGACAATGCGAAAAAACGTTTTGGTTCGCAATTTTATTAACAACAGCCATCGGAGAAACTTTCGGACTTGAAGTTTTGCATAATTTCCAGTTGAACGGTCACAAAAGAGCGGAACAAAGCCCTCAAGGGCTTGGGGATGGGATGGGGCAACTGTGGCCGAACATTTAACGACGCATAAAATTTATAAATATGGGAAGGAGAACGGGCTTCCTAGATGGGTCAACTGCGCATAATTTTGCATAATTAATGCAAATTGCAATTTTTATGTATTTGTATTGGCCGAATCCTCGGGCTTTTCTCGGATTTCTGCTTGTTTTGTGCCCCCTTAAATCCGTTTTTTTTGCCTTCTCGCTAAGGACATCAATTGGAAATTACAATGTAAATTAACTAGATGTAAAAGTTTTCCTGCAGCTCAAGCTGTTTGCTGCATACTTGATCAGATGAATTAGGACTCGGTTCGCTCGACTTGAGTTCACTTGAGTTTGGCGCAGTTGGTTGGGCTGAGGACTAAGGACTGGGGACTCCGGTCTCCGGACTCCGGACTCCAAATAGAAATTGATTTCTGGGCCCAACCCAGTTTGCCGCCCAGCGACGGAAACTGGCAAGAGGCGGAAACATTCGCGTCAACATACGCTCCTACACATTGGCAACAGTTTGGCACGCATATCGGATGCGAATCGGGTAAACCGGGAAAGTAAGTTTCGAAATTGGGCCGACAGCCTGACAGCCGGGAAAGCTGCGTGCCAGTCCCCTAAACACGACAGGCGGACAAAAACAAAGCAGCATTAAAAACTCATCATCCGGCCACGTTGCAGCGCCATGAGGAAAAATGCCATGCGATGGAAAATGGTTCTCGGATGGGATGGAATGGGCGAACAGCGAAGGAACGAAGGAAAAGCGGGCCAGTGCAGAGAAAATCGGGCGAAAAGGCAGCGAAAATCTGCCGCCATTGCTGCTGCCGGCAATCGCAGGTTGACTGACATTTGGAATGCAGCGGAGCTTCGTTTTCCTTGTCCTGCCGCCTCGGGGCCCACTTAAGTGGTAAGGATAACAGCCAACTGTTGTTGGCAGCTGGCGCTGGGACAATGAACTCTCCAGCCGCCACTTGAACCCAGGTAAACCGATCTAGCCGGCCCACTTTTTCCCACTGCCGGGATAATTGAAGTTTGGTGGCGCAGCCATTAATTCGCTTTTTAATAAGAATTAAATTGACAGAACTATTTATTAAATTTAATTGCTAACCGATAGCCCAGCCATGAGATTAGTTATAATAATTATATAAAATCTAATTTTAATTTTAATAAAGCCGATAAATTTATTTAAAACTATTAATTACCTTTTGAACTCTTTAGCCCGAATCGCTGTCATCTTTGGTTCCTCAAAATCCATTTTAATTAACTACCAGCACAAATTTGTCTATTTAAGGTTTCCGAATTTGTGTATAAAAGCCAATTCTAGTGAAAGCAAAACCTTGTATAAATGTTATTATCGTTAATAAATAAACCCTTCCGTATTAGTGCATTTCTTCCCAATAAACACATTCCAACTCAAAATCAGCCAATGAAATAAACATCATTTGCAAGGGATTATCATGATGTACTGCTGATGGCTTCGACAAGGGGCATCGTCCAACAAATCAAACAGTTCGGGCACGCCATAGCATCATAATGCGCGGGATTATATGCAGCTGGCATGCCAACCAGCGATTACATATAACCATACGCCAATCATTTAGTTGAAGTTGCCCCAAACCTTGGGGTAAATACCTACATGTGTGCGGTGGCTCTTCAGTTTCCGTTCGAGTGCATACGGAAAATTAATTGCTTTGCACTCGAGAGTACAACTTTCGGGTCTTTGCCCACCCCGCTCCTTCGTGTTGACATTAATCAATGACAATTTGGCATGGCCAGGCGCGTCTTCGAGTAGGCAGGAGCAGAAAACCGGACAAGAGCCACTCGAAAGTGTCAATATCAAATGAATTGCAATTAAGCACAATCCATCAGGACATGTGTGAGTGGGTGGAAGTGCGAAAAAGAGTTTGTCACCCTCTGGCGATGCCAATTAATGATCGCCCAGCTGCAATCGCATTCTCGGGCCACTTAAACACTTTGGGCGTTGACAATTAAAATGTTCCCACATTTCGCCACCTCCTGGTCTTCCTGCCCTCTCATTATACCAAAGTCCTTCAGCGCTGAAAATGGGACAAGAAAAAACTGTATTGCCGGCTGTCAGGACCTTAAAATACCTCGTTGCATGTATCTTTCCTTGGTCAAGATATCACCAAACTTCGATTAGATCCTAGGACAAGAAGAATCTCTTGTAAATATCTTTTAGTTAATGTAAGAAATTAAATTTAAACTCGATTGACAATGCGGACTTTAATTAAATTTTTCACGAGATGATAGTTCTTACCAAAAAAATAATAGTTTTTTTAAATCGGTCGTTAACTTATAGCTACTTTTTTATTTTTCCCATTTTGTATAAATACAGTGTACCCTTTTCATCTCTGAATACCGGGTATAAAAAGGACAGCGGACGTCATACGGTTGTCTCGCTCTGCCTGCCGGAAACGGAAATGATAAGCGAGTGTCAACTTGCCAACTGCCTTTTCAGCTTCCTCTGCCGGGCGAATGTGTGTTGTGGTTTTATTTTTGTAGAATTTAATTAGAAAAGTTAGGTGGGCCTGGTCAGGTGCATGGCCCTGCCGCCCACCCTTCACCTCACGAGCTGCTGAAGACGCCTCATTTACTCTTTTGGCACAAAAGTCGAAGCCACTTTTGATAAGTGCGTGTTGCGAAAAAGTTGCTCGAATTTCCAGCGCCACCGAAAACGTGACAAAAACTTGTCAATGCATATGAAGTGGAGAGGCGTCGGGGTAATGGGGGAAATGGAGAGGAGGTCCACCAGCAGAGGTCCAACAGAGCGTGTCGAGTATGCAAAATAGGATGGGTTGCAAGGACAGCGACAAATGTCCGACATTAGCTGGAGAGCCAACGCAAAAAAGGTGGAATAATAACATATTTTACTGGGCCGAAAAGCAAAATACCCTAAAGTTATTAATCCTTAAAATAAGGACTTATCAAGAAAAAATCTAAATACAATTAATTTAATAGAATATTGAAGATTTAAGATAGGACTGACACAACGAATTACCATTGATTTAAAGTTTAAGTAGCTTAGGAAAAATAAAAATTTTTTAGTTTTAAAGTTTCTACTTAAAGTTTTCCTTAAACATATAATTTTAAAATATTTATAATATGTATAATATTATTAATAATAGTATAGTAAAGTATAAAGCACATCATAAAGCCTTTTTTAAGGATACATTTTAATTTATAAGTAATAATCCATTGATAACATAAGATATTGAAACACAAACGGAGCTTGGACTGGTGTTCAGCTTCCAACTCCCTTCAAAAACCGAGGGACCCCCTGGAAGAGGATGACCTGGATGTGGAAGTGAGAACTTTGGGCAGGACAAAGTAGAGGAGCAAGTTCGCTGCTGGTAACCTCGTTTATTATGTCATCGGGACAGCGAGCGGCGAAACCATTTCGAGGGCGCAGTGGGTGGTGCGAATGGGTTGATGGGTGTTGCAGTCCCCACAGGTGATTGAGCAGGTGTGCAAAAGGGGGTGGATGGGCGGAGGTACGTGCCCGGGGCAGAGGCGTAAAAGTGTGCGCACGACCAAACCGCGTGGACGAAAAGTTTCGCAGGTAGAGTGTCGTGGGAGACCCACTGGAATGCAGCGGGTCGCATCGGGTTCTCCACCTTGCCGGGGATCGGGTGTGCCGGAATCGTAACTGCAAACTTATGCAACTGGGCAACTGAGCTTGTTTAGATTTATAAGCTGCCACTGTCCTCGGATGGGCGGTGTCCGGTAAAATGCATTGAAGGCAAAAGTTGAGTGCGGAGTTGATGTTTCCTATCAGCAGGCAGCAGAAATTGAAGTTTGCCTCCCCCTGAAGGCAGACACAATGAGGGCTCTAAATAAAGCTCGAGCAAACGGGAAATTAGGTTGGGATGTAAGGAAAGCTAACTCAAGATATAGATGTAGTTATTCAATGAGCCACTTTTAAAGTGTGTTACTAAAAACGAAAATACCTAAAGAATTTTCTGCAAAGAAAGTTACAGGTTTTAATAATACAAATTCTAAAATAGGCTTTTAGAAATCTGTCAAGACATGCAAAAATGTAAGTTTTTAGATTAAATTTAGATGCCAATCAGTCTTGAGCAGTCTTTGATGGACTGTAAATTAATAGTAAGCCACAATCAATTTTAATTAAATCTGGTACATTTCGAATTCTAAGCAGGAGGCCTTTTTATCTGAAGAACCAAATCTTTATTGATAGTTTGCGACGAAAGCTACAATAATATGTTTTTAAAATTGTCAGTAAAAACTAAAAGACACATAGCATTCCCCTCCCAGTCAAAAACATTGCTCACAAAGGTTAGGCAAATCAAAAAACAACCAAAATCCGAATGCACCGTGCATTAGGAAGTACGGCGATCATCTGGAGGAATGCCGGTTTGTGATGACCACTACATTGACGAGTGTCATGACCTGCCAGAAGGACGCTTGCCGCGTTGGTGGTTCGGCGGCTTCTCATCGGTCTGTGTTGCCTTTGCGGTGGCGCCAATTGATATCGTAAAGACACACATGCAGATCCAAAAGCACAAGAGAACCATTTTAGGCACGACCCAAAGGATATACATGCTGAGGGGTGAGTAATTGTAATACAAAAGAAAATAGACAATTTAATAACTATACTTGACCCCCTTGAGAATCTATTAAGTATGAGAAAAAACTATAGTCTTCGCAGTTTAGATTTTTACTCAAAAGAAACAGAAAACTTTGTAGTTACTTTTTGGGCTTCAGATTCACTGATAAAAAATGGAACAAATAAAATCTATTAAAAAATATATTAAATTGCATTATTTAATTTGAAAATATTTAAATCAAGGTCGAAAATATTAGATTCGAGGTTAGTCCTATTTACTTTAAACATTTTTGTTATTAAAAAAAAACTTTATGGTCAAATCAAAGTTTAAAATATTTAAAGTAACTATAATTGTTATACATAATATTTTCAAATCTACAATAATTAAAACCAATTAATCTCTATTACAGGATTTTTGGGTTTTTATGACGGCTTTTCCGCTGCCATCCTGAGACAGATGACCAGCACCAATATCCATTTCATAGTGTATGAAGCTGGCAAACAGATGGAGTACGTCAAGGAGCATTCTTATCTTGGGAAGATTATTTTGGGCTGCGCGGCGGGAATGTGTGGTGCCGCCTCTGGAATTCCAACCGATCTTCTCAACGTGCGGATGCAGACTGACATGAAGGAGCCGCCGGACAAGCGACGCAAGTATTTTTACCTAACTTACGAAATACCGCCATCAATCTTAGGTTTTCTCTCGCCTCGATTCCAGCTATAAGAGCGTCTTCGATGGCCTAGTTCGGATTCCCAAGGAGGAGGGCTGGAGGGCATTGTACAAGGGTGGATCGGTGGCTGCTTTGAAGACAACTATAGGCACTTGCAGCCAGATTGCCCTATACGACATTGTGAGTTCCTCATTCATGGTATTAAAATAAAATAAATTAAAATATTTAATCAAAAAAGATATATTAGACCGAAATAATAATACTTCAAATAATATTTCTATATTTCATATTTAGATTAAAACCGAAGTTCGAGAAAATACTTCTGTGAATGACGGCGTCCCCCTGCACTTTCTCACCTCGTTGGTAACATCGATCATTTCGTCTACGCTCACTCATCCCTTGGACGTGGTAAAGACCATTATGATGAACTCCAGACCAGGCGAATTTCCCACCCTCTTCCACGCGTCCATTTACATGATGCGCTTCGGCTTCATGGGACCCTTCCGAGGATTGGTACCCACGATAGTGCGAAAGGCACCAGCCACCACTTTACTATTTGTTTTGTACGAACAGCTGAGGCTCCATTTCGGAATTTGCTCTCTGGGAGGGGATAAATTCAACGGGTAAATGGGTATATAATTAGAACTTAAGGAAAACTTACAAAATTTATAAAAATAACATTTGAACTTTTAATAAAGTTTTTATACTACAAAATAAATGTATAAAAAATTAAATAAATCATGGCAAATTTAGATCAATCCTTGTCTATCAATAAATCATGTCAAATTTAGATAAGGAAAATGAAAAATCAAAACCATGTAGCCCTAGATCATTGACCCAAAGACCGCTTTCCTTCCGCCCAAGAAAACATCAACCACAACTGGTCGCATTATAAATTGATTACAACTCGCAACGTGACTAATGAACATTAATTTGTCCAACTCCTTGACAAGGAGGACGCAGTTGTGCCGGCAAAGTTGGGGCTAAATGCCAGCACGTGCTGTGTGTATAGTTCTAGTTTAGATGCCGCCACCGCCACGATGACAACTAGGCGTATGAGCAACAATGCCCAGGCCCCGATGGCGGAATCCACCATCGCAGCAGACATCCTTCCAGCTCTCCAGCGCCGCTTGTGTGGGTGTCGTGTCACGTAAACGTGGGTAAATGTTGCACGTATGGATGGCATTGTTGTGGGTGGCTGGTGAGCATATGGAGGACACTCCGGCCATTACTACACACGCACCCACTCTCGGCTACCCTTTAATCGTGATTGCAATCATTGTGGAAATTGAATTTGTAAGTAGGCAATTTTAGGACGACGGCAACGCGCAAAAATAAGAATAATGCGACGCAATGAAACTGAATTAGAGCTCTCGACTTGTTTTCAAACGCCTTTACCCTAAAAGTGGGTACAGTCAAACAAATTTTTGAATATAAGGTCTCGTGAAAGTAATGTGTCTTACGTTATTTTATTTTTCATATAACGATTCTTAAATCTTAGGAATAAATAAAATGTAAAATGTAAAGAAAACCATACATTTTTCCATCCATTTAAAGTGTTAAGCTTCAGGTATTGAATGAGAAGCCAATTAATTAGGTCATAATCCACGCAAATTTATCCTTTGTAGATATATTTTCTAAAAGTCATACAACTTTATGAACTAGCATTTAGTTTTTTCCAGTGTTAATCGTGACTCGTCTTATAGCCCAAACCAACACTTAAACGTGGCTCCCACGATTTGCATAAATGCTTAGAGCGAAGTTTATGACTGACTTGCGATTGCATCGACGATGAGTTGTGCCTTAGATGGCGGAAGACAAGGCGGGGGGTCAGAGGTTGTGGATTCGTTGTTTTCTGTGCCGCTTCGCAGGTTATTAGTCGCTCGGCTAGCACATTTTGTTTACCATTAAAACCATTTGCATAGTTTGTATTTGTGCAGACGCTTTGCTCGCAACGTTTTGCATTATTGAATATAACGCATACGCACCGTTGACCCGTTTTTGGTGCGGGCTTTGTGGGCGCTTCTGTGTGAAATCAATGTGGATTTGAATCCTTTATGAAGGTGCATGCACCGTTTATTTGAGCTGGCTCGGGCCGAGATTGTTTTGCAAATACACACGAGTCCGAGGCCAGAAGTCAGGAAGTTACCAATTATTTGACTAGTGGACAGGATGCCATTGAGGTCACAGGCTAAAATAAGTGGGCTACGGCGTTATTGTTTGAGTAGAAGGATGGTTTACTTAGGTTTAAACTTTGCTTAAGTAAATACTTAAACCAAACTGAAAATTTGTGTATTATTTTGTTAGTAAGTATCCTTTTACTAGGACTGTATCATTTTCTAATAATATGCTATATTTTAGGTTCTGCAATACATAAATAATATACGTATAAAATTTTACACTTTATGATTTCTACAACCTATGTGCTATCTCTTTTTATCACTAATTTCATAGTAACCAAAGTGAACGCGGAGCTGCTCGAAACTGAGAAATGTAATAGCCGTATTGGGCACCATTCGAACAACACATGGCACTATGCCGCGAAAGGGTCCCCGCAATCCAAAGCGCATCATATATCCAAAAGCATGTATCAATCCGCTAGGGTCCACCATCCTGAGAGCTCTTAAGTTTTCTATGGGCTTGATGATCGGGCCACAGATGCAGGCAGCCGTCACGGAACTAATCAGGTGTACGAATGTGCTATCGTGCTTCTGATTGAACCACACCATGTAGATCTCCTTGGCCTACAAAGTAAATAAAGAATATAGGGAAATCTCAATCAGATTGTTTATAGAAATGTCCTTCCTAGAGCTTAAAATATATCGATATTTTCGATATTTTGACAAAACACATATTGAATCTAGAAAAATAGCAAACTGTCGTGTACAGTATATTAAGAAATATTCACCTGATCGTAGGCAGCATTTTGACCGATGGTCATGAAGCTGGACCGAATGAACGAGAGAAGACATCCGCTGTAGAGCTTCGTCCAGCCCTCGTCCCTGGTCACACGATACAGCCCGTCGAAGACATGGCGGTAGTTCCACCGAATATCCTTGGGAAGGGCGCGGTTTACTTGCATCCGGGTGTTTACCAACTCGACGGGTATGCCCACCACACCCGCGGCACATCCCGCCAGGCCAGCAACAAACACCTTGTCCAGCAAGTCCACAGGATCGTCCATGTGCTCCTTGCCCTTTTCGTACAGATGAAATCGAAGCGATGTGTATGTTAGCTGCCTCGTCAACTGGGCACTCAGGCCGTCGTAAAGGGAAATAAAACCTAAGGGGTTTTACCAAATCATAAACATTAAATTAGGGTATAGAATCCATGGGTTACCGATGTAAGATAAGCAAACAAATTAAAAATTAAGTGAACAATTTTAAAGCCCTCAAATATCAGAATAATGTATTGTATATTATCTTAGATCACGAAATTACCATTCGTCCGAATAGCCCGCTTCAGACTGTCAGCCATGCCCCTATCCTTCTTGATAATAACCATTCGCGACTCAATCAGGTCAAAAGGTGCTGTAAAACACTGCGCTATAGCCCCCGCCACACCGCCGCTCCACCAACGGGGACGTATTCTAAAATAGTTGATTAGGAACACGTTTAACAGGATTAACAGAGGAGCTCACATCTTTTCGTCATTGGAAGTCTCGAGTAAAACAGCCAGCTTGATGATTTTTGATATATCTGCCTCTGTCGCGTCTTTATACTTCTCTCTGTTCCTATGTCCATCAATCTTTTTTTTCTGCCTCTAAGGGGACTTTTACAGATCTGATTAATTTGACAGGGAAGTGAGTGTGTACTTTTGTTTATTTTGCCGAAATAGGAAAATGTTTTCCCTGTATCCGCCAGATATACTTTTAATATTCTGTATTCGATTTATTTTTTTTTTTGCAAGTCAAAAAAATATTTCCTAAATTCATATAAATTTGTAATAAAATAATATGGCAGTCCATTTAATTTTTATAATTGCTAATGTAGATAATTTTTTTGAGATTGAATGACAAATTTTGGTATACTGACTCAAAAATCACAGGTCTAACGTTTTGTGCATTAATTATTTGGAAATAAGTTGCATTTGCACAACTTCCTCCATCTTCTGGTACTCCTTCCTTGGAATTCCACCCGTCGTGTGTCATTCACGACATCCTGCCCATCCTGCCACTAACATGAACGTTCCTCGTCCTCTAATTGCTGGCCAGGAGTCCGAACTAATTGAGCCGGCTCCTCCTTTTTCCTGCTCCGCAGTTTCCCAACTTTCTACCTCGTCGCTCAGGGATGGCAAGGAGTGACATCCACGCAGGTGTTGCAACGTTGCTGAGTAATTTGGCATAGTTTCGTGGCTTCGAATTCGACTCTCCCCCGGCAGACGGCGCAACTTTCGGGAGTCCTCCGATGCTCACACAGTTGTCATGGCATTATCACGGCCATTAGGCATCAGCCACCGATGCGAGTGTGTGCCACCTAGCTGCAGTTCGAAATTGGTTGCAACTTTGGGACATATTAGAGGCAAAGCTGCGGGGGCGCCGCAGAAAGTTACTTTCGATGCTGCGCTGTAAAGTTGGGGGAATCGTGGGTAGCATTTCGGACAAGTTGAGTGGTTTCAAATTGTGGATCCATCTTTAAATTAAAAAGTTATTCACAATAGTTAAGTAGTTCATATTGTGTGGCCATAGGAATTTTAGATCTGCGAGTAGTCACAAAAAATATGTAAAATATTGCAGATTAGCAGTGTTACAATTAAAATACTTTTTGAATTATAATTTTCAGTTTACGTCCTGTTTATCTGGGTTTACTATTTACTATTCATGAAAAATCTAATTATCCCTAAATAAAAATTTTAATTGACTGTATGAAGCGCAAGCCAATAATCACTCAACAAAAGTCCGCTAAATGATTAACCAACTGCAGTATTTATGGCATACTTTTCAGCGCAGCGAATGGTTTCCTCATTAGGCGTCGAAAGCGCAGCGCCATCAATCAAGTGCTCAATCAATCAATTCGCCATTTATTTTACTGCCTGCCATTTCAGTGCACATCGGCAAAATGCAATTGGAAAAACAACAGCTACAAAAATTGCTTCCGCACAAAATTATTTATTTGAATTTTTATGAGCCAGCACTAAAAAATTGATTCATAAATTCCAACTGCGCAAATAAACTAACACAATAAGCCATTCGATATTCTGTCCCTCCACAGATATATCTCAGTTTACAGTTAGTCGTAACTGCAGGGGATGGTGAGGGGGTTCGGCAGTTAAACTTACGTAGCCCCTGCTCCCTTACACACTTTCGCCCGCGTTAGCGGAATATTTTTCCTTCTTTATTTCTCTTTGGAATTGCTCCTTTCTTGTTTTTTATTTCATTGAGCTTTTCAATTTGCGCGTAATGTGAAATAATATATCACGTATGCACTTGCTCACTCCCCGGCTAACTCGCTCTGCAAATTTACTTTTGCAAATTTAATGCTCCTATCCTTGAAAGTTTCCGAAGTAACGCGTCAATTTGATACGCCTCAGCATTGACGGTATGTTCGACTCTCTGTTTTTGGCCTGCAATTTTTTCTGGTGGCACACATTCTTCGGTAAGCCCCCTTCCGAAACCCGAAAAACCCCTCTGCGTGTCTGTTTGCAAGTATCTTAGGTTATTAGAAAAGTTTGCGGCCTGACTAAGGGGCTGCAAAAAGTTGTCAGTCGAAGAAAATTGCATATTGAAGTTGTTTAGGCCATTTCGGACAACCAAAGAAGGGAATTCTGGAATCTGATCTTGGGCTGATCGTTTTGCACTTCAGCTTGGTCTTTAGGCAAATATGTCAAGTTACTGATACACAAATTTAGAATGTAAATTCATTCTGGGTGTTAGAAAATCTTAATATCTTCCGTAATTTAAATTAAATATATGAACTGAATCACCTGATTAATCAGGAAAAAAAGATTATTAAAAACGATGAAAGATAACCTATTACGATAAAATAAAATAATCAAAATTCATATATGGTTCGACAATTAATTTGTATAGAAGGTTCGACAATTAATTTGTATAGAAAATCAACCTTTATTTTGTAGTCTACGAATTATATTTAAAAATGTTTTTCTGTATTGTATAAGTAAGTGTCAGGTATTCAATTGCAAATATTATAATTAAGACTAACGTTTTTTAAGACGCCATCATCTGCAACTCTAACTTCAATTTAAATGCAGTTGCAGCGCATGCAACAGTCTATAAAAGAACAACCAAGATATCTTGGCCGCAAGTCCCTGCTAAGCCCCATCACACCCCCTGAAGGCAACACTTACCCCCTGCATCCGATGGCAAACTTTCGCCAAGTATAACAAACAAGAGCTTGCAACGGCTGTCGATGCCGCTCCGCTCAAACCACATGTAATGCAGCTGCAAGCCGACAAACTTGGCAAACTCAGTGGGGGGATGAGGGGGAAAATCGGGAAAAGTGTGACAAAGGCGGCCAGGGGAGTGTCGGAAGATTCTATCAAGTTTTTCCCTCTTTTTTTCTTCTCTGTCTGCTTTGCCTTTTGTGGCTTGTCTGGTCGCCCCACTCCTGCTGCCGCCTCTTTTTGGCCAATTTTCGTGTTGAACTCTTTTGAGAAATGTTTTTGGCCAAAATATCAACATTGGAACAACTGCAGACAGGGATCACAGGTGGCAAGTGCAAATGACCCAGGAAACGGGACGGGGCTTAAGGGGCTAGAGGTTAGAGGTCTCCGGCGGGGCGACAATCAACTGGTCAAAGCTGTCGCAGGAGTCACTCAAAGGACCAGGCCCCGAACCGGTCACGAATCGAAGCAACCGGAGCTCCCGCAAAGTGCTACGAAAATTCTAAATTCCATTTTACGATAATGCAACTTGGCAGAAAGCCAAAAAAGCAAAAAAAAACAAGCAAAAAAAGTAATGAAAAAACATGGCGAAAGATTGATAGTGCCGACGAGCCAAGTTGGCCCTTGGTCCGAATAAGGCCAGAATTTTGACCTGCTCGGGCATCTGGGCAACATGTGCCGTAATAATAATAACAATACAAACATCCAGTACAAACAGCTGCGAATTCACTGCAGTTGTTGGCCAAACAAACTGTTCGATACCGAAAAAGTTACCATGTATTCACAAGCTATAAAGAAGAAATTCTTTTTATGACTTTATAATGGTTAGGTTTCTGCACAACAAAAAATTAATAAAATGTAAATTGAGACAAATATTTGTAAATATTTTTTATATATCAGTCAATAGACATGTTTTAATTTTTTTAAATTTTAAATCAATTTATTCTGATCGTAGCACAATAAAATTCTTTATGCTTCCCTTTAGGTTTACTCAAAGAACTAAAACCGTTAGGGAATTTTAACAAGGATTTTAGTTCTTATTTTATTTTATTGTTAAAACATTTATTCAACCCAATTATATTACTTTTCTTAACTTTCCTTTTAGTACTTATACCTAAAATTGGAATACCGCCCATAAATATTAACAATTAACTCTAGTTCCTTCCATTTGCAGACGATCAGGATATCCGCAACCCCAAAGACGTACTACCCGCTGCTGGGGCCCGCAGAATGGCGGATATACCGAAAATACCCAGACAAGCGTTCGAGCCCCGTGGCTCCGGGCAACGTGGCGTATGCGCAATTATCAGGCAACCGCTGCGAGGCGAGACATGCTGAAAAGTCGAGCCATGAGTCGCCTTCAAGCCGGCTCTCTGGGCCAGTCCAACCTTAACTTCTGCTGGGTTATTTAAAGTTCGCGTTATTAATAAATGCCTCGGTGGGGCAGTCGCTCTGCCTCGCCTTTGGTCTGATATGCAGCGCTTGATTAGTGCAGGGCCTAACTTATGGCCAAGGGGTTCCCATCGGCTTCTGGGCGGGAGGCGTGCTGGGCCCTGACTTCCTGCAAATTACCGAGAGTTTTGCTGGGCGCAAAGTTTGGCGCGTTATCGTGGAAAGTTTAATGGAACTATGTCGTGCCGTGCAGCGCCCCCAAAACAGGCGTTCCGAGTCAGACATACCAACCACCCAAACCCCGCAAACCACCAAACCCCACTCTATCCTTGGGTGCACTGCATCTGCAGTGGCGGGGATCGCGGTGTAAGTCGTCCGTGTTAAGCCTAGATGGTTCTCAGCAGGGTTTCGGCTAATTGCTGAGGACACCCACACATTTGACAGATTAGTTAGCACAAAAATTAGAAGCAAAATTGGGTAGTGCAACTAATGAATTAATTATTGTGGGAGAGAATAGGAAACGGAAGCCAGGCTATGGGAGAAATTCGTTAATAAAGAAATATGGCACAACTTTGGAATTTAAATCGAAATAAAATAGACAAAAGGATCAGTGCTGCCATCGCTTAGCTTGAAAAACAGGACAGATAAGCCACAAAAAACAGGGAAAAAAAGGACAAAAAATTTAAAAAAAGGACAAAAAAAAGGACAAAAGTAAATGCGCCTCCATTTTTCTGTTTTTACCAATGGGTTATATATTTACTTAGTATAAATGGATTTTAAATAAAATTCAATTATGTAATGATCTACTGCGCCCGACTCACAACCTTCTTTGTTTGATCATTTTACCATGGTAAATTATTGTGCGTATACGTAATAATCTAAAATTATTAAAATAATAAAAGCATTTCAAGTAACTATATTGGTAATACAAAAAAATTTAATCTGCGTCAAACCCGAATAAGAGTCGTTGAAATTTTTTTCTGACAAAAAAGCAGAGAGTAAAAATTGAGAAATTTGTAAAGTGTTTTCCTCTTTTTTTTGCTACAGAAAAAATCGTACCATAAAGAAAATCCATCGACTGCTTTACGTCTCTTTAATAATTTGTAAAAAAAAATATTTTTTAAGAGCCGAACTATAAAAATGATGGTTAGAAAGGCATTTTAGCATATAAAAACAGGTTTATACACTTTCGACTAGCAAAA